TAGGGGTAATTATCTGTTGGTTCCCAGAGTCTGGCAGACATACAGGGACAAACTAATGAAGGCTATTTACATTGAAACCCATTAAATCAAAGTTAATAATAACATGGTTATAAACAATAAGAAGAGAGCCTCTTAACAAGTAAAAATAGTGAAATCAAACGATGTTACACTAGACACAAAACACAAGCCACTACATCAGTATGTAGGCCTATGAATCATCACTGCTTGCTACACCAGACATAAACCTCAGCATCAGTATGCACCATCACTGCTTGTTACACCGGACACAAACCACTGCATCAGTATGTATGCACCATGAATGTTTCTTACACCAAGACACAAATATTTGCATCAGTGTGTATACACAAAAACATGTCTCCCCCTGCCCCCCCCCCTCGGTGGCACTGTCAGTATGTATACACCATCACTGCTTGTCATACCAAGCACAAATTACTGCATCAGTATGTGCACACCATCTCTGCTTGTTATATTAGACACAAATCACTTAACTGCATCAGTATGATGGTGTATGTACATCAGTATGTATAGGGCTACACCATCACCTTTGAAACCAGTCAACTCACTGCCGTTATTATGAATGCACCATCACTGTTACTCAACATCAGTAATAAACCAACAAATGCAACATATTGATAGAAATGCTATTTCTCTGCGGAGTTCCTTGGTAACGCAGTTCGTCAAACAGACGAAGTTGAAGGCATATCCTATAATAACATACAAATCAAATTAAGCCAATTTGCTGACAACACCGTTTTTTCAAACTCAATAAAACCCATCATGGGCATTCTAGATTTTGTTTGCTTTAGCCTCTGGTCTAAAGATAAATTACGAAAAAAGTAAAATAATGAGATTGGGTTCATTGAGAGATTCAGATTTCAAAATTCCTATCGGAAAAAACATAATATGGACAAATGAGGAAATACGATATCTTGGCATTAATGTTTTGAGTAATTTAGGTAATATATTCAATTTAAATTTTCAACAAAAATATAAGGATATTGATAGAATATTAAATATGTGGAGGCAGAGATCCCTATCCCTATTTGGAAAAATCATGATCATTAAAACATTGGTTCTTGGTTGAAAATGCCAAATGTCCAAAGTTACTGTCAGGCTCTAAAAGCATGTTGGGTAAAAAGATATTTTGGAAAGAACGGCGGCAAATGGAAAATATTTTTTCAAAGCGACCTTGATAAAGTAGGAAACAACTTCATATTTGATTGTAACTTTTCAAAATCGTCCGCAATGCTTAAACATTTCAAGGGTCCGCAATGCTTAAACGTTTCAAGGGTTTCAATAAAGACGTTCTATTAGCTTGGAGCGAGTGTTTTTTTAAAGAACCGAAATCTGTTAGAGAAATACTATCACAGTCTCTATGGAACAATTCCTGCTTTGAAAACATAGAATTCACTATAAATAAAATTTGGTGGGACAACAATATCAAATATATTAAGGGCATTGTGACCAATAGTAATCGAATTTGTAATTTGAAAGAATTTGAAGAAAGACATAATTTCAAACCAAATTTCTTTTTTTACCATCAAATTGTAAACTCAATTCCAAGGCACTGGAAGCAAATAATAATTGAGAATACAGATATAAATCCATCAAATGTAATAATTGAAAATCCAAATATCAATAGTGTGCTGAAAATGGAAAGAAATTGTAAATACCTCTATTCTCAGTTAATTCAAAAACACACTGCAGTGCCGGATGGAATCGAGTCCAGGTGGGAAAAAGAACTGGACATTACTAAACTACAATGGGATATGATCTTCACAACGTTACATAAATGTACAATTGATACAAAACTTAAAAATTTTCAGTTTCGATTTATTCATCGTATTATTTTTATACGAATTCCTTTCTACATAAGATATATATTGTTGAATCACCAAATTGTGAATTTTGCTTTAGAAGAAGAACAAACTTTATTACACATGTTTTTTGAATGCAAAGTAATTAATGTGCTGTGGAAACAAGTACAAATAGTTATAAAACAAAGGTTTGAAAGAAATTTAACTTTAAATAAAGAAAGAATATGTTTTGGCATTGACAACCATAAAAATAATCATGCAATTAATAAACTAATATTTATTACAAAACTATACATTTATAACTGTAAAGTTAATGGACAAAAACCACACATAAATCCCTTAAAATCAGTATATGAGAAGCATAAACAAATTGAACAATACATTGCATTCAAAAATAGTTAGCATTGCAGAATAATGTAGATAGGCCTATATACTGAAATTTTCTTTCATGTTATGCATTTTGTAGAATTATGAATCATCAATCATTTTGTTTCTTGAATAGCCATTTATGTATGTTAACTATCCATAGTTGCTTACTTTTTCTTTGGTTTCTTTTATAGTAATGTAACCTTGCTATGTAATTTGTTTTGTTTTATGAAATATACCAGAAATAATAAAATATAAAAAAAAAAAAAATTTAAAAAAAAATGCTATTTTTATTTCTCATGTTTCATTAGAACAGAATTTAACATTACTGAAATCTTTATAAACAATGATAATAATTATGACAAACATAAAAGTACAGTACTGAAAATATTCATTATTATGAAATTAAATACTAGTGCCTTTGTTTAAGTTATATACAAAGGGTCTATAAAAATAATATTAGGTTTCTAAAATTATTATGTACTAATGTATTTACAGTCTTTTAATTTACACCAAAAACATAAAAATTGAGCTGTATTGTAACAATTCAGACTAAGAAACAATGCATAAGGGCTTTTAACATTAAACAAACTTCTAACATACATAATTTTACTGGAATGTACACCTTTAGAACTACAGTATGTGGAATGAAACTTTCTCCTTTCTCTGTAAACAAAGCAATACAAGGCGAGACTTTTTTATACCTTGTTTCTAAAACTTATTTTTTCTTTTTAAGATCGTCGGAGGGTGGAGGAAAAATAAAAACAAAATTTTGTTTTCTTATTTAGAAAGTAGTTTTGTAAAAAAATTGAAGGAGAAATTAAAAAAATATATTGGTGAATGTAAACAGTGTAGTAATGGGATGGTTAAATGCTTTCAGTTAACATAATTAGGAAGAAATATACATATCTTATCATCAGAGATTTTTAGGCAGTGGTGGGCGTAATAAAAATAAAGATAAACTTTTTTTACCTGAAATTTCCATTTTTTGTGGTGGCTGATATTGTTAATTGGCCAAATCTATTTTTTTTTTTTAAATTCTAAATCATCATTATTGGCAGCTGGGAGGTTCACTTAACAAGGTATAAAAAAGTCTTGCAAACACACTGACACCGAAAAATTTAAAAACTCTTGATAAATACTATTAAAAGACTGCAATTCAAAGAATTTGGCTAGTAATGTTACAACAACCAGTTCAAACTCTTTATAATAAAATAATATTAGTGAACCATTTCTACAATATTCCATATATACATTTT